TCTGCCAGTATTTATCACTCTAAAATAAGATTTACGCTTCTAAAGCTCTCTCTCTCCTTTCATGCTTCTGAGCAGCTTCATTTTTCTCCCCTGAGCTTTCCCATTCTCTCTTTCTTGCTGCCTAACAAATTAAGCATCTAATCACTGCTGTGGAGGCGCAGTGGGAGAGCAGGGCTTTTATATTCAGCACCGTGTTGGGTTTTTTCATGGTTAATCTTTAAGCTGTTTGGCCCAGGATAGGTTTGAAGTCAATGGTTGTGCATTTGCTTGAGCACATACATGTGCACGTATGTGGCAGATGGTAACTTCAGGTTAATACCTGAATGCTTCCCATCCCCTGAACTGGCCAAAGGGCAGGGCTGCAGAGCAGCATACCCTTGGGATGGGCCTACCGCCTGTATTTCAGCCCTCTGCCCTTCCTCTGCGCAGGGGCCCATAGTTGCTGGCTGGAATTGGAGCCCTGTGAGCATCCTTGCAGCTCCTGTGAGAAGTACCTAAGATCCTTTGTGGGTTTGTGGGCTCCCTCACCGCAGTGTGTCCTGCTAGGATCCTAGTGCTTTGGGCTTCCTTGTGTCAGGGACAGCTGGAGTTTGGGATCTGTAAGCTTCCTCCCACTCATGGGAGGGCCAGCCTGGCTTTCAGAGGGATGATTTTTCTCCCAGCAGGCACTGTGGATTTGTATATGGCAAAATGAACCTGTCCGGAGTTGAACCATGAGCTCTGTCTTGTGACAGCCCTCTGCTAAAACTCACAGAGCCTGTAAGGCTGAGTGGCCACCCTTCAGCAGGACGCATTGGTACCAGTTTAACCCCTGTAAGGGATGAAGGCTTTGTCTGGCTAATTAAATGAAAACACCTTTTGTTGCATGACTTTTAAGGTGGCCTTACAGCTTTTCCCCCTTTCTTATGTTTCTGCCTAAGTCAGCTCTTCTGACCTCTAGGTTTTTGAAGCTACAGGACCAATTTCAAACAATTGTAACACTGGGGTGGATTTCAGAGATGCTGGGATTGGATTGTGTTTCATGAAAATAGGGGAATAAATTAGAGAAGAGAGAAAATGAGAGAGAAACCTTCACAGAGCCCCATTAGAGGAGAGAGTGCTGTGTGAGTTCAACCTTTGGTGGACATCAGAGAAGCTGCAGTGTAAGACTCTCTCTTTCTCTCATGTCTTCCATGACACAAATCCACAGGTCATCAGGCTTCCTCTTTGTCCCAGACATCTCAGGCCTTCTGGAGCATTTCTGGGCACAGCCACGAATTCTTTGCTGCATGGCTTGATGGTTGCTCCTGGGACAAATAGGAGCATCCCTGGAAGCAGTGGGGCTGAGAGGGAAGGGGCTGCTGTTTTTTAAGTGCCACAGCCATGCTGTGAGCTCTTCCATGGCACTGTCCTTTCACTATAGCCAGGGACAAAAGCAAGAACCATCTCCGGGTGGTGATTTGAAGTAGCTGCAGTGATGCATAAGACCAGTGTATATTGTAGAAACTATCCAGCAGATGTGGAGAGGCCCTTCAATAAGGCATCAGCCCCCAGTACCGCGCACTCCTGAGAAAGATCTCTTTTCTGGGAGGTGGGAAATCCTGGGAGGCAGAGCCCCTTGGAGATGGTGTTTGTGCCCTCAGGCCTGCCAGGAGCAGGCAGCACGCTGAGCTTCAAAGAGGGCTGATGCCCAGCTGCAGCACAAAGCCTAAGAAAGCAGCAGGAGCTTTGGCCTGGTTTCGGGGTGTCCCCAGAGGAGCCAAGAGTGTTTGGCAGGTTTTAATGCATGCATTTCTAATGGGAGGCTCTTAGCACCGTTTAAGAAATGGTAGAATTAAGTGCTGTATTTCCCAGTGAACTGGGCCCCAGGAGGACAAGGTTGACAAGGTCAGAATTTTAGGGCCAAATTGCTGCTATATGAGTCTTTTCTGGTTGCTTTTTTACACCGTGTTCTCTGGACCTTGTATCCTTTCTCAGTCATAGCCTTTCCACCTCCTCAGCCCACAGCTTGTCTCTGTCCCTTGTATCAAGTCTATCCATACTTTCAAGTGGTTGTATTTTAAGCTGCCCTCATACCTTGCCATCTAACTAGTGACTGTACTGTGTCACCCTCTGTGCCACCCTGATCCCCAAGCCAAAGGGTTGCATGTGGCTATCAGAACATCCAGCTCCTGACTCAGATCTTGGTGTCTTCTCCCTCCATATTTCCTCTGAAAAAGAGAACCATTCCTGTGGCCTCCTGCTCTTCTCCAAACTCTCTGGTGCAAAGAAATGCCAATAACATTGACGCATCCGTTAGCAGGGAATAAACCAGAGGGAAATTGTTGGGAGCTCGGAGCTGATGGGTTGACTTTGTGCCAGCCAAGGAGGGTACAGCCATTCATGGGCACAATGCCACTACTGTTACTTGATGCTTTTGCATTCGTGAGGATGGCCAGGAGCCAAGGGCATGTTCTAAGTGCTGTCTTGGCCTACACTGAAGACTGTCGGAACCCTACAGAAGGTAGGCCCGGTTCATGAGGGGGGACCTTTCAGTTGCCCTATAAAACAGATCCCATGTCCAAACTGTTCCTCTTGCCTGTAACCACAGAACCCCTCCAAACCAGGCTCTCTACACATGCTCTTGTGTCCCCCTTCCTTGGTTCTCCTCTGGGCTGGAGTTCATTGCTACCCTGGGGACTGATGAGACCAATGAGTTTGGCTTGCGGAATGGCTTGGCCCTTCCTTTGGCCTGTGGCTGAGGCAAGGTTGCACAGCCAAGGTGGAAGGTACAGAGGGAGCAGGTCTTCTCTACATAGTCCCTTTGATTTTGATACATAGCAAGGATAAACACCACCTTCATTCCACCCAGCCCCTAACGCAGACACCTCCTTCCTCTCCAGTCTCCTAGGACATCTTCCCTTGCAAGCCCTCTTTGTGCTCCCTGAGTGCAGCTCCCTGAGTGGGATTGGGTGGCTCTCAGCGATTGCTGGGGCTGCTGCAGAGGAATGCGGTCCTGTCCTCAGATTTTCTCCCTGTGCGCCATGAACAAGCTACAGCTGGCAATGACGAATTCAGCACAGCTTTTGGAGCAGTCTGCTCTGCCAGAGGGGGTCAAGGCAAGGGGGCTGCGATGTTCCTGTATGGAGCTGGGTATTGTGTATTGTATTTGTCAAGGTGAGACAGACAGGCTAAAGCAAAATGCTCAGAGATGGATGCTGGCTAAACCGTTAGCTAAGATTTTAGGGGCAGAGGTGGTATGGTGGGTTGGCTGTATCTGTGCATGGAGTCACCTCTGGAAAAGGTGGGACTGGTATTGAGGAGTATCAGAGGCATGTGGGTTCCAACCTGTGGAGAGCCAGATGTGCCTCCTATCTGATGCATCTGGAGAGACAATGTCAGGAAGCTATTTCTCTTTGGATTATAAGGCTGAGAAACAAAGCAACAGACTGTAAAAGCCTCTGCTTTCTGCTGCACTGCTGGCTGATGCAAAACTGAGGCAGCAGCTGGAGGCCATTGTATGACAACCGTAAGTGACACGAGTTTGGTGGCCTCAGATGATGAGCTGTGGGGAACAGAGGCTTTCTCTCTGTCTTTTCTATTGGTCTAGCTCTTCTCCCCCTCCCTTTTTCCATCTTGGCTTTACTTTTTGGATTATTAAATATTTAAGTGTTTCTCTGTGACACTATCTGTGATCCTTTAATCCAGCTGGCCTGGTAATTCCACAGACCCAAATCAGCTCAGATTTCTCCACAGCCCTAAGCCTTGTTTCTCAAGGGTTCACTCCTGTTCCATTTATCTTCCTTCATTTTATTTCTGCCCTTTGTGTCTCTGTGCTAGAAATTGGTTCAGCTTTTTCAGAAAGAGCTTTGTCAGTGTCTTTAGCGAGCAGCCTCCCCCCACAATAAAAGGGGAAAGAAGACACCTTAGTTTTTCATTAACTAAGAATCCTTTTCTGTTTTTTATTGGTTTTCCTACAAAAATAATTAAATAAATGAGAGTGCAGTGCCCACATGTTTTATGTGCCGTATGAACTCATTTCCTCTGTGCTGCCTGAGGACACCCCTGCCGGGCTTGTGTCTCAGCACAGTGGGAGAAGGCTTGAAGCTGTAGTTGGAGGGAAGGGTGCTCCAGGCTACCCTTCCCAGCCAGAAACAGGAGCTTGCCCTGAGCCCAGGAACGCACTGAAGCATTCCTACTAGGTGTCCTTTCCCTCAAAGGGGCAGTGTTCACAGCCCTAAGGAGAGGTGGCAAAGTACAAAGGTGCAAGCAGAGCATCTCAGCATCTCTCTTTGGTAGGGGTAGGTGGATGATGTGCTCCAGCTGAGGACTGCTGGCATTGCTGTCTGAGAGGCTGGTGTTTGACACAATGCCTACACCCTGCCCCCCAGCGTGCTGAAGCTGGGCTGGCTCACCTCAGGAGCCTTATCCATGCACCAAGAGGCAGGAACAATTTTTATAGCGCAAATGGTTACACGTGGCTTGAATTATTTATCCCTTTTGCATCAAGGAAGGATAGAAACAAACAAAAAAGTGTTTTGTTCTTTTTTTTTTTTTTTTTTTTTTTTCCAGGAGGGAAGGCTTGTCCAAATTTTCTCTGCTTCATGCATTCCATGTACATCATTTTCAGGCGGCTGGAAATCTGCAGCTTTGGCTTGTGCTTGGGGCTTGCCTTTGTTTACCCTAGGAGTTTTGAGCCCCTGAAATAACAGACTTATGTTCTCCATCCCTCTTCCTCTTTCCCTTCCCTTTCTTCCCCAACACTGCTGCCTTCCTGCAGGTCCCTAGCTTTGATCACGTTACTTGAAGCAGTCCCAGTGCTTTTCTGCATACCCTTGATACGAGATTATATGTCATGAAGGTTCCCTTCTCGAAGGTTTATCAGCATAGCAGGCAGTATCATTCCTCTCTTGCCTGCATCCCCCATAATGCTGTCTTTTCCCCATCTCCCTCTTCTCATGAAACCTTGCTGTCTATGCTCTTATCTCAAAGACCCCTCCAACTGATGCCTCTTCTTGTCTCCTGTGTGCTTTCTTTTCCAGATTCCAGTGACAGATGGATCTCTCTCGTGTGCACTTGCTCTTTTCCTCTCTGTATTTATGTTTTCAACATGTTTGATCAGAAGCTCTGAAGCTTCTCAGAAGTGAACCTGGGGAAGAAGGAAGAGAAGGAGAAAGAACTGAGGGAGCGTGAGCGACAGAGGAGGCAACCCTGCGTTGTACTTCCGAATCACACCGTGGAGGGGCGAGGGAAGACTAGAGGGGGGAGGGCTTGGGTTGATTTTGGGGTGGGTTCGGTGTGGGTGGGGGGGTGGGTGGGAGGGAGAAAAGTGGAAAAAGTGGGCAAGTCATTCATGAGCATCAAGGAAGATTCGTTACCCTCGGTCTGAATTTTTGTTTGGAAAAGCACAAGGTAGTTCCCTTTCAGACCAATTATTCACGGTCACAGCTCTTGCGTGTGCTGGAAGCAGATTGCATGTGTTCTCCCTGCTCCATGCTCCTGGCTTGACCGAGAGGGCAAGAAGAAACAATGGTGACAACACACACAAAGACTGGGGTGCTCATGCCCTTCAATTGCTAAAGCCCAGTTACTGCCCCTTTCTCTTCCCCCAGCCCCTTAGTTTCCTTTTGCTGTGATCCTGACATTTGGGGTTGTTTTCTGTTGTGGGTTTTTTTTCCCCACCCTGATGAGGGCACCACTGCAGACCATGATGTGCCTGGGGTTGTGGGCAGCTGCCCTGCTCTGCTTGTTTTCCCCTGGCACTGTGCGAGGTGATTGCTGGCTGATTGAGGGGGACAAAGGTTATGTGTGGCTGGCCATCTGCAGCCAGAACCAGCCCCCATATGAGACCATCCCCCAGCACATCAACAGCACGGTGCACGACTTGCGTCTGAACGAGAATAAGCTCAAAGTGGTGCTGTACTCATCCCTCAACCGCTTCGGCAACCTGACTGATCTGAACCTGACTAAGAATGAGATCTCTTACATTGAGGATGGGGCTTTCATGGGCCAGTCGAACCTCCAGGTCTTGCAGCTGGGCTACAATAAACTCACCAACCTGACAGAAGGTATGTTGCGGGGCATGGCGCGTCTCCAGTTCCTCTTTGTGCAGCACAACCTTATTGAGCTAGTCACCCCTACTGCCTTCTCTGAGTGCCCCAGCTTGATTAGCATTGACCTGTCATCTAACCGTCTGAGCCGACTGGAGGGGAACACTTTCACCAGCTTGAGCAATTTGATGGTGTGCGAGCTGGCTGGCAACCCCTTCAACTGCGACTGTAGCCTCTACAGCTTTCTTAACTGGCTGGCGGTCTTCAACAATGTCACCAAGAACTATGACCGGCTCCAGTGTGAGAGTCCACGGGAGTTTGCTGGGTACCCGCTCCTGGTGCCTAGGCCTCACCACAACCGCAACGCCATCACCATCTTCCAGTCCATGTGCAGAGGTGGCACCATTCCCTCCCTCTCCAGGGTCAACCCCACCCCTTATACCCCTGACTCCCAGCGAGACCTGGATGAGGGCTCAGCCATCAGCCCTGGGGACTTCCTCTCAGTCAAGCCTCCAGCTTCCTCCACCACTGACTCCTCCTTCAGTCCCAGCATCAAGCTCCATGATGTCACCATCACCTCAGCTATCTTGATGGTAACCATCCCCATGCCCTACAGTAAGATGTATGTGCTGGTCCAATACAACAACAGCTACGTTTCTGACATAGCAACACTGAAGAGCAAGAAGGAATATGTCACTGTCAACAAGTTGAAGGCCCACACTGATTATACTTTCTGTGTGGCCTCCATCCGCAACAACAGGCGCTACAACCACACTTGCCTGACCTTTGCAACCCGAAGTAAAGGCAGGGAGGACCCTATTTCGAGTACTTCCACCACCACCCACTATATTATGACCACCCTGGGTTGCCTTTTTGGGATGGTCATTGTCCTGGGGGTGGTGTACTACTGCCTGCGGAAGCGGAGGATGCAGGAGGAGAAACAGAAATCCCTCAATGTCAAAAAGACCATTCTGGAAATGCGTTATGGATCAGATATTGATACTAGTACCATGGTCCATCCTTCCCAGAAGCTGGGTGAGCCACCAGTCATCCCTGTCTCACGGATGTCTTCCATCCCTTCCATGATTGGGGAGAAGTTGCCCCCATCAAAGTCAATAGACACTGGGATGGAGACTCCTAAAGTCACCACTAAAGGTAACTACATTGAGGTGAGGACTGGTGGTGGGGATGGGCTGGAGAGAACACAGCGGGATGAGGACCTGAGGGAGCTTGATAATGGGCAAGGCTCAGCTGCTGAGATCTCTACTATAGCAAAGGAGGTAGACAAGGTCAACCAGATCATCAACAACTGCATTGATGCCCTCAAGTTGGACACAGCCTCCTTCCTGGGTGGTGGAACTGGTGTTGACTCAGACATGGCCTTTGAGTGCCAGTCCATCCCAGCCAGTTCCTCGGGTGGGCTAGAGCGGCCTAGCTTTCTTTCCCCACCCTACAAGGAAAGCTCCCACCACCCTTTGCAGCGCCAGCTCAGTGCTGATGCTGCCGTGGCCAGAAAGACCTGCAGCGTCTCCTCTAGTGGCTCCATCAAGAGCGCCAAGGTCTTCAGCTTGGATGTGCCTGACCACCCACCACTCAGCAAGTCTGACTCCAAATACATTGAGAAGGGCAGTCCACTCAACAGCCCTTTGGATCGTCTTCCCTTGGTGTCCCCAGGCGCCATCCACCACTTGGAGGTCAAGCCTTCTTACCATTGCAGTGAGCACCGTCACTCCTTCCCGGCCCTGTACTATGAGGAAAGTGCTGACACCTTGAGCCAGAGGGTGTCATTCCTCAAGCCACTCTCCCGGTCCAAGCGAGACTCCACGTACTCCCAGCTCTCCCCCAGACACTACTTCTCAGGCTACTCCTCCAGCCCTGAGTACTCATCAGAGAGCACCCACAAGATCTGGGAGCGATTCCGGCCTTACAAGAAGCACCACAGGGAGGAGGTTTACATGGCAGCTGGGCATGCCCTGCGGAAGAAAGTTCAGTTTGCCAAGGATGAGGATCTGCATGACATCCTGGATTACTGGAAAGGAGTCTCTGCTCAGCAGAAGCTGTGACTCTCCCTTGCTCTTTCCAAGGAAACGATACAAAACAAGACCCCCACCCCCAAACAACCAGAAAAAAAAAAAAAAAAAGCCACTTGACTGTGAAAAATAAACCACCAACAAAATACTCCTGAAAATACAAAACTGACAAAATTGTTTCTTAAAGTTTACAATAGCAGCAGAAAACTCTCACACACACTGACTCACACAGACACACACACAAGCCGAATTGTCTCTACTGTGTTACGGGGACCATTGTTCTGCTTGCGATGGTTGGGAAGAGCGTCCTGCTCTGACACTGTGGTAACAACACTGGAGTGCGGGTGGGTGGGAATGGCCCAGGATGGGGTGGCAGTGGTGGCAATGGAAGGGCAGGGATGGACACTCACTGGGCATGAAACTCAGCTGTGAACTATTGCTCTTTCTGTTCCTATTGAGGGATGGTTTTTCTTTTGTGTGGGAGGAAGGGATTTGGTTTAGAAAGCTTCTCTGCCTTCCTGATACACTTGCTTTTCCAAATCTTCCATCACTAATTTTTCCCTCATTTCCTTTGGCAGTGGAGTCTTTTCTTTCTCTCCTGTCCCCTTCCAAGATAGATGGGATTTGTTGGAAGACATTCTCTCACTTCTTTTCCTTTGCCCTTCCTTACCCTTCTCTGCTTAAGGGTCCTTAGGCTCACCCTTTCTGTCTAGATAATTTGCAAACCTCCATCCTCCTCAAACAAAGGAGAGGAGGTGTGAAGGACCAAGGGAGGTAGGACCTGCCATACAACGCACTCTGTGCCCTTGCTGCTCTTCCTCCTTCCCTTCTCCCCAAACCATGTTGTTGCTGATGAACACCAGCATTTTGGGAGTGATGGGCATTCTCCAGACTTCTCAGAGACAGTTTTCTGCCAGTTGGTGGCAGGGTATGAATGTGTTCTTTGGTATGGCAAGCCAGGTCCTTAAGGAGTGGTGGAGGAAAAGGCAGGAAAGTCTGGTCTCTCAGAGGTGTAAAGGATTCCCATCTTTTCATGAGTGTCACAGGTCAGAAGTTGTCCTCACCATACACACCTGTGCTGAGGCAAAACTACTGCTACCTTGTAGGTTTGATACTCTCTGTTCATATCTCCCTTACTATGAGGAAGGCACATGGAGAGGAACTCAGCAGAACAAGTTCTACATGAACCTTCTGCAGCTCTTCCCAGCTGACTTGCACCCAACTGGCTTCCTCTTGAATAAGCCATGGACATTCTGGCATGGGTAGGAAATAGCCTAGGATTGAGGCAGGAGAACAGGAAACATAAGGGATGTGAGCATGGGACCCGGGAATAGCTCAAGAGGGATGGCTTCTAAAGAAACTCCCTTTGATTGTGCAGCCATGCTGTGTGTACTGGGATAGAAGAGCATAGCAGCCTCTGGATGACAGTGTCTTTTTGAATATTTAGAGGGTCTCATGAGAGTCAGAGCAACATATCACCTCCTAAATCTTCCACCTCCTCACATTTAGCCATGACGAGCTTTTCTTAGGGATCCTTTCACACCTTGGCAAAAACCAAGTTTCACTTGCTAGGTCCCAACCTCTGTCCCTTGGATAGAAGATGTGCCACTGAGCTGGGAATGAGCCTGCTGCCCTCTTCACATCATCCCATTTCTGAGCAGCCCAACAAAGCACAATCTTGGCACCATCTCCCCCGAAGTTTTCTTGTCAGGCAGGGGTGCTGCCTGCTGAGTGCATCTTTGTGCATCACAGTGGTCCTCCTCTGCATGAACTGCACACCCCAAATCTTGACAGTTGTTCACCCCTATCAGGATGGGGGTGAGGGCCTGTTCTGTGTTGGCCTTTCCTAAGTGGCTATTTCCTTTTTGAGGTATTCCTGAGAAGCTCCAGTTTTCTGGGAGGCCCTGGGAGAAGGATGAGGATGTAGGAGCTTCTCTGGGAGGGATTTCCATGCTGCCCGCAGGAAACCAGCCTGTCAGCAGCTGTGAGAGCTGGCTTCTATGCCACAGGAGACATGACTTCATCTTCTGCAAGTGAGGAATAGCAGTAGGCAGGGACTGGTGTATGAAAACCAGAGGGGTGGTCCCCAAGATCTAAATCTGTGAAGATCCATGGGGTTCCTTCCTTGTAGGGATGCTGATGGTAACAATCCTAAGCCAGGTCCTGATCCCACTGCCTCAGCCTCCTTCACTGTCAGCCTGCTCCCCCACAGTCAAAGCATCATTTTGCCTTGAGCCCAGAAGTATTTATAGGACTGACTGGCAGTCCAACCCAGAAGAAGGGGTGTGTGTGCACATGTTTGTGTCTGTTAATGTGTGTATGTGCAGGAAGATGAAGGGAAGTCACACCACTGCTGACAGCCATCCCTCCGTGTTGGGACAATGCAGCAAAATCAAGACAGGTAAATGGTGTAGGTGATGCTTAGGCACAGTAGAGACCTCTCCAGCTACCACGTGGAGCAGGCCCAGTGGTCTTCCAGCATGGCAACCATCCAAGCAGGAACGACTAATGGCTGGGGCACAGAATTAGACCGGAAAAGGGGAATGACAGGCATGGGGGGATGGAGTGCTGTTCCTCTCCCCACCTCTTCCCTCCCTGTGCTTCTCTGCTGTATGGTCTTGTAATCAGTTCTGCTCAGTCTGTAGTTTTGGGGGCAGTGTTAACCTGTAATGGTTTCTTCTCCCTTCCCCCATGACCCCAACGAGGCAGAAAAGAAAGGTCAGGGATACAGCTATCACCAGGCCCTTCTTCTGCCTGCAGTGGGAGTAAGACTGGGTAGGAGGGACAAGCCATTTCTCTCCCAGTTGTAGCCCCCCACTCCAAACCAGTGGGTGAAGTTTGCACAAGATGGACTGTTCTGTGGGAGGAAGAGGGCAAGGAAGGGAAACAAAGTGTCTCACCTTCCTTCCTCCTCCCTTCTTCCTTGTCCTGCTCCCTCCCCAGGGACGAGGGCTAGCCAAGTGGCGCCAGCCCTGTCGGAGGAAAGCAGATTTAACGTTCTATTTGCATGATGATTTTACTGTATTTTTCTGAGCAAACACCTGTTGTGTATGTGCCAGTTTGTTGGAATTTAACCTCCTCCCCCAAAGTCTCTCCTGTCCTTGTCCCTGTTTTCCCTGCTCCTTTCACTCATCCCTGATGTGATTTTATGAGAGACTCCTACCAGTTTGGGAGGGAACACACCCCAAAGAGAACCCAACCCAACCAGCTGCATAAACATTCCTCTTTCTTTCCAGTGTCTCCCTCCCCTTACCCCAACTGTGGTCTCTCAGCTGCTTTTCAGGGTTGTGCGTGTGAAAAGGGATGTGTTATATACCAAATGCTGGCTCTTTCTAGTGGTCATAATTTCTTCTAATCATTTAGAAACAGGAGTGAGACCAATCAAGACACATCTCATGAGAGAAATGGTCACTAGTGTCCCCATGCCCTGGTTGCTCTTTCCCCAGATCTACAAGCAAGGTTATTCTTGGGGGAGCAAGGAGTGCTTCAGCTGCAGGGAAACCTCTGATACAGTGAAAGCTTGATGTGGAGTTGGTTGCAATCACATGAAGACCTCCCACCACCTTCCTCTCATTGATTGCGCATAGGTCTGGATTAGGTCTGTCCTACCCCGCCTCTCCTGTGGGTGGCCCTGGCAGAGTCCAGGGCATGATGAGACTTTTAAGACCTCTGTGATAGTAAAAAGCATAGAGAGACTGCCTGAAGTTCCTAAGCCCCCTGTGGCTTGGCTTTGGCAAGGGTCCCTCACCTCTGCCTTCTCCCAGGGCAAAGTGGATTCATTGGGCGGAACCAGGACCAGCTGCTTTCACACTTTATTTATCTGGGTTGGTTACTCATGGCAGGGTTTAGTTCACCTCACTGGAAAGCACGGAGGGTGAGGAAAGAGGTTGACTGCTGACCTGCCCTCTTCTGCCCAGAAGCAGACTTGGGAGGAAGCCTGGGCTGGGTTCCTGTACCCAGAAGAGTGAAGGTGAAGACCCTAGGCGTGCTGTGCCATGGGGCAGAGCTGTTCCCCATCCCTGCCGGTGTTGCCCCAGCTTATGCTGCCATTTTCCTCTCCCCCTTCCCCACTCTTCCATGCTGAATAAATCCCTCCCGAGGCAGGTGTGAAATATTCATGACTGACAAATGAAGATTTATGTTGGGCTGAGGAGGCCTGTGTGTGTTTGCAATGCTAATCAGCCTGCCTTCCTGGAGGAGGCTCTGCCATACGGGCCTGGGGGAGAGAGGGGGAGATGCAGGAGAGAAGGGGGAAAAGGAGCTGAGGAAAAGAGAGGAGGGGCAGACATGGGTGAGGAAGGTGTGGTGGGACCAAGGAATCGTGAGGCAAGGGACAGGTAGAGAGAGAGGGAGATGGAGGAGGACAGGATGCAAAGACCAGGGGAAGAGATGGCCACACTGTAAAAACGGGATGGTAAAGGAGAAAGGGACCAGAGAGAGAAAGGGTTGAGTGCAGGGGTGGGGGCTCTCTGTAAGGAGGTGTGGAGTCAGTCAGCAGTGCCTGAAGAGAAAAGATGGGCAGACTTCATGATGAGGAAGCTGTGGCCCCTCTCTGTAGGGCAGAGCTCAGCACGACAGGGCGAGCAGCAGCCACATGAGCAGGAGCTGCACCCAAGGCCCCGAATACACGTTTGCCATGCTTGTTGCTGATCAGAAAGCTCAGCTGCATCTGGAAGGACACACAGCCTCTGGGATCCTGGAGAATACCCCTTCCACCACCACCTCCTTCTGCACAACCCCATGTATGAAAAGCCTCATGGAGCTGTGTCCTCTTGCTGGAGCCAGTCTGCTGCTGTCCCACCATCTGAGCAGGGGGGAGCATCTTGAGGGTAGCTTGGTGCAGGATGGACACTGAGTGGGGTCTCTTGTAGGGCTGTGGGAGCCTGCCCCAGCTCAGCTGCCCCTTGCCCACCCTGGCTGGGGCAGGTGGGTTTGGGTCTTTCTGTGAAGAAGGGGCCGAGGGGAGCATCTGTCACCTTCCCCCTACACACACACACACACACTCCCACATCTCATCCCTCCAGCCACTTTGGCCTTGTACCATGAGGGATGTTCTCGGTCTGCCTCCCTTTCAGTTCTCTTGCTGTGGGGAGATGTCTCTACAGCTCTCCATGTGCAGTCCCACCAGTGCGGCTCTCCCTTGGGCTGCCCCAACCCTACCCCCATCCCCAAGGTGGAGAGAGGGCAATCTCTGCCCGGCTTCTCCTTCTCCACTGGTGGGCACCTCCTCTCCTCCTTGCCCCTTATGATCCCCAGTCCGTCTGCCCCATCCTCACACATTTGGCTTGACCTTTGCCCTCCCCATAATAACCACCGCCACTGTGAGGCCTTGCTCCTGGCTGTCCTGCCCCCATGGCCTCCTCTCCACCTTGGGAGAGGCCATCAGGGTCAGTCCAGACCCTCCAGGGCTGGTACGACTGGTCCATCCACAAGCACAGCACCTGGGGTGAGGGGATGGGAAGGGGCAGGCAACTGCCAGGCACAGAGCTGGGGGCATCAGCCCTTGACTGTAAGGAAGGGCCTGGGAGGCAGCTGCTGGGACTGGCTCCTTGTGGCCTCTTTGGTGTTC